CCCCCCCCCAAGGATTTCTTCTTGAAAATTTGAGTTTGATCTTTTTATTTCTAATAAGTTGATCTGGAATTTAAATGAAATCCATGAGTGCGACGGCCTCAGATTTCACTCATACGGAATCATTTTAATATTTTAGTTTTTAATCCTGTTTTTAATTCACCTCAGTAAAAATATTCCTTCATATTAATCTCGTTTGTTTTGATTTCATAAGAATCTCAGCTCAGAGCAGGTTTATTTCACCGAGCTTCACAGACATAGAGCTGCCAGGCCAGTTTTTATTTTTGCTTCATTTAAATGTTTCTCGCACCCAGTTTGAGCTTTTCGATGATAGCCTCAGTTCTTTTTCCATTTTTCTCACAAAGAAAAAGAAACAGTAAAGCAGTGAACATGACACAGGTTTAGAATAGTGTTTATCCGGTGGTTACACCGACTTTAGTTTCTCGTCCACCCCTTTCTGTGCTTTCATCATCGCTCCTTCTTCACCTCCTCATCCTCACTTCTGTTATCCTTTTTTAAATCTCTCCTCTTTCATCCCGTCATCACTTCGGTTTTATTCATCATCAATTGTCCATTTTCCTCTTCCTTCACTTCATCACTTCATCCTCTCGGTGATTGCAGGAGGGGAGATTCAGAGTTCAGATTTTTGTTTGTTCATTCCCGATTTGATTCCTTCTTTGAATTCCCCTCCGGCAGAACCTGCAGCTCGGTTGAGAAGTGCCTGCGGTGAATTTGAGAGAGGAGTGATGAATCACTCTGCCTGTTGATGCTGTTTATGATCTTATTTGTTCATTTGCTTTCAGAGTCACGTTCCCACTGACAACAGATCAAAAGCCGCATATAGGCGACGAACGAGGTTAACAGACATCCGGGTATGTTGTACTTTATCTTTGACAAAAACCTACATCCAGTCTTTATGTAAAGAAAGAAGGAAAAGCAGCCGGTCTCCCTGTGGGTGGAAGCATATACAGCATCACTGAACTATGTCCGAGCATCAGCGTCATCTATAATCGTGTCAAAAGCATTTTGTGTTTTAGGTGTAAAACGTTTGACATCGGACCTATGCTGCATATTTAAAAAAACAAAAAAACAAAGCTCTGTTCTACCTGTGCTCGTGCACAGGTAGAACAGAGCTCTGAGGTCAGCTTTAAAAAGTTGAAAGCTGGCGGAAGAACAAACAGCAGATCTGTGTATCAGGGGATATTCCCTGAACACGATCCGTGACTTCTTTAAGTTTTTTCCATCCTTCCTGCCGCTTTTCTAACTTCTGTCCTTCAGCTGCGAGGTTGCAGCTGAAGGATGTCGTCTGTGCGTTCCATCATTCAAATGGACAAATTCACTTTAAAATTCGCTCTCGGCGGCTGAGCGTAGCTTTGTCTGTCACAGCCACAGATGGCCGAGTCAGAGGTGCTGCAGAGTCATTTGATCCGATGTGATTTGCTATAAAAGAGCCAATCTGTCGTCTGATCGCTTTCATGTCAGGTTTGCATAATTACAAACTACGCGTGGGTGTAATTAGAAACCAGCCTTTTATCGACTGACTTATTTTTCCTCTGAGATCACTTTTAAAAGCAGAAACTGTTAAAGATGCAGGTCATTCCTCCTCAGCTCTCTGTAGCTGTTACAAAAACGCAGCCATCAGCACCTTCAATCAAGAGGCGTCCCATCATCATCATCATCATTATTATTATTACTGTGATTGCAATGGAGGCATCATTTTGGGCTTCATTTTCCAGGGGTTCAAGTTTGGAAGCGGAGCAGGTGAAAACTTTCAGGGCATATTCCAGCAGCACCTCTGCGGACGCTAAGGCTGTCATTAAAGCTGCAATTCACAGCTCAGATTAGGTAGAAATAGTCCTTTTCTATTTGGGGGTTTCTGGGATCTCGCTGACCTGGTGACCTGATGAGCTTCTAGAACGACTCTTATCAGCTGAGAGCACACCTGGGGATGTCAGCCTGGTGCTTAACCTTTCGATGTTTAATCAGGAAGAGATTCTCTGAGTAAAATTATCTCTGTTCCCAACAGTCACCCAGGAATTATCTGTTCATCTTCACAAAAACACGGCAGCTGTAACCAAACACCTCTGGACTGAAGCTAAAGCGCCTAGATCTCAACAGGTTCCAGTTCCACAGTGAAGGCTGTGAGCGACGAGGTCAGCGGCTGATGCGGACGCGCGTCTGCTGTTAGAACTCTGGAAAGCACTGAAAGCGGGCTGTCAGTCGTTCTGACAAACTTCTCTGCTGCAGAGGAAACCTGCAGTCTGCTGCCACAGTCGACTGTGGACGGGTTTCTCTCTTCCCCTCAGAGCGATGGTTCAGCAGTACATCTCACTCTCTGCTCCCACAAACATCATTACATGATCTGTGCTTTGAGAATCAACGCCACTAACCTCAAAAACCATGTCAGTGTTTGAGTTAATCACGTCATCGATTCTTGTTAGATTCAGTTTCATCTCAGCATCCGTCCACTCTACATTTATTATTATTATGATGATGATGATTATCATTATTATTTGACCAGGATGTCCCACTGAATCTCTAAGAATGGAGACCTGACCAATGTAACACTGCAAACACACAACATCAGCTACATGACTGACAACGTGATATACACCACACACCTACAACATGAAACACTAGTGACCTCCCAAGAAACACATCCACACCCCTTCACTGCGTTCCTGCATTTTCTTTCAGCAGTAGGCCGACAAATATATCAGCGCTACTCATAAAGAGGACGATATTGAGTGAGAGACTTTGCATTTGGAATAAAACATGGAGACGCAGGAGGCATTAAAACTGAGGAGGCACACCACCATCATCACAAGCAGAAAAGTAGCTTCAGCAGAATAAAAGTAGAAGCTAAATTTATTTCTACATTTTTTATTCCATTTATTCTTATGAAACATTTTCCTTCACATAATTTTTGTGTTGTTTTTGTAGTTCTGGAGAAAAGAAAGAAGAATCCACTAAAGTCCATTGTCAGTTTTTATTGAGAAACAAAGTCTGAGTCGAACGTTTGGAGTTAAAATAAATAAATATTATTAACAATATTAATATCTTATTTCATGGTACATTAATTACTGGAGGTTTATTAAAATCTCTTAAACGTTTATATACAGAGCTTTTTTTTATTATTATTAGAATGTTTGTATTGCGCATGCCCGGTACCAACAGCGGCTCACGCGCTTTTACGCACGGCCTCCTCCTCCAGGTATCACACCTGGCTGTGGAAATGGCGTTAAAACTCACATAGTTAGGACGGGTAACGCCGGATACGGAACGGACCTTCAAATTAAAAGCACAACATCGCCAAAAAGACAATGCGGCATTAAAAAGTCTCCAAATATTTATTTAGCCCTTTTAAGCTTCACTCTTTGTGTATAAAGAAGAGCTTAGTTTGATTCTTTTTAATGTATTTTAGATTTTTTTTAAATCATGCTAAATACAGTTTTTATTTATAAAGCATTGCTCTTTAGCTCTTTCTCTCTATTTTGGTTTTTATTTTACTTATTTAGAATTTTTTTCTGTGAAGATTCTTTCTTCTTATATTTGCCCGTTTTTTTTTAATGATGTATTTCAGACATATTCAAGTGTTTTATGAGGTTCTTGTGGTTTTATTTTTCATATACTCGCTCTGAATCGCAGTTATTTCACTCATATTTCTGACTAATCCTCAGGTGTTCTGTTAACCCCTCTGTTCCCTCCAGTGCACCTCTGGAAGTGTTCAGAGCTGGGACCGGAAGTCGCGCAGGGTTATCCGTGTGGCTTGACTGCGCTCTCTGTCCCGCAAAATCCCGCAGCTGGCATGAGTTTAGGATCCGTGAGTGGAAAAAAGAGGGGGGAATGAACAACACGCCGCCAGGATTACGGTTGGTGTGTGGACTTTTATTTCACTTTGTCCGCTTTTGGTTTTGGGGGATTTGAACTTTGATCGGGTTTCTTTCTGTGTGGCTCGCTCGTGGCTCTTCATCGGACTGTATTTGGGACCACAGCCGCTCCGTGAATGCTCTTCCACAAGTATTTACAGTGCAGGGTGTGTTGTCATCCCTCTTGTTTTCGACAAAATGTTTTCTCATTGCTGATTAATCATGTGTCCATTTCAACTTTATGAAACCAAAAATGATGCTTTAGTTAAGTTCTATAAAGTCCATAATTCTATTTAATCTCATTAATACAGCCTGTGTGTGAAAATGTTACAGCTCAGTGGGTTTTTCCAAAATAAAGTTCCAGATCGTGAGCATGACCGTTAGAAAGTGTAAGTTCTGAGGTCCCGTGGAGCTCCCGGGTTCTTTAGCGCACTGTGTGCTTTGTTTTTAGTTGCATGTTTGCCATCTCTCTCTGCATTGTGTTGAACAGGGGAGTGTTTTTCGCTGACATAGTTCTGTAGGGATTATAATGCAGGGAGCACATGCCCTCACGGCCCATTGTTGGCCCCTCTGTCTCTGTTGTCTCTCTTTCTACTGAGTGAGTCAATTGATGGAGGGATAAAAGGCCAAAAATATGCACTGACATGGCTTTCAAGAGAGAGAGAGAGCGGGGCAGGGGCAGAGGGTCAGTGGCAGATTTGGTAGACCTACTGTTGGTGGCCTGTACCCAGAGCTGCAGCAGACAGGCCATGAGGGCCCAGAGCAGCCCTACAATTAAACGGGGAACATCGAGAAGCAAGCCATGTCTTTAAACTACATCAAAAACTTCTACGAAGGATGCGTAAGTACATCACTCAGACTTATTGGAAGGTTCTTCCTCTAACCGGAGCCTGCCTCGCCAAAGCTTTGACAGTTAGAGAGAAGCAGTGCTTAACACGTGTCCCTCCCGTGGCTTAAAATGAAAAGACATTAAAATAAAAAAATAAAAAATTTAAAGTCAATCTTTGTTTTGCTTCAGTCTTTATGTAGATGAGCAACACATTTGTGAGACAAGAGGCTCTCTGCTTTGTGAGAGTGCCATTTGGGCCCTTTTTCTGATAAACATGAGTCGGGCCGGAGCAGGCAGAGAGACGAGACGGGAAATGTTTCCTCTCAGTGGGTTTTGTTTTAGCCTTCAGAGCTCAGGGCCTCCAAAGCAGCTGCTTTTATCTGGCTGACAAAAGATGTTTTTTCTCTTTATATGTGTGTGTATCATGAAAACCTGTATGGGAATGTAAATACCCCCGTGTGTGCACATATGGCTGTCTGCTTACATGTTGTCCTGTATGTGTGTGTGTATGTGTGTGTGTTCCAGCTCAGGCCTCCTACAGTGATAGGCCAGTTCCACACCTTGTTCTTCGGCTCCGTGCGGATGTTCTTCCTGGGCGTCCTTGGCTTCGCCGTCTATGGGAATGAGGCGCTGCACTTCAGCTGCGACCCTGACCGCCGAGAACTCAACCTTTACTGCTACAACCAGTTTAGGCCCATAACACCGCAGGTAGGAGGAGTCATCCAAACTTTCATCCCTCTGATGTCACAAACCAAAGCAGAATGAGCTTTTAGAGGTGCCATCAGCTTTTATTAACACGAAGTAAATGCTACAAAACCTCCGAACAATTCTAAATATCCCAAAATGTCTGTAAATGTTGACCACCATTATAGATCATATTGAGTTTGAGTTCTGAGAAATCGCATGTGTACAATGAAGAAAAGCAGATGTGAATTATCAGTTTGGATAAATTCTGTTGAAGAATACAGCGTCATGCATGAATCAGGGCAGTTACCAATATTCCAGCTGAGGCATGTTTGGGGACAGATGGTGATGTGTCCAATCCAATAAAAAGCATTTGCAGTCAGAAAACGGTCGCAGGTGGTTATCAGCATGAACGGCTTTTTTCCGTATTGGTGGAACAGTCAATTTGGGAAAGAACATTTCAGCAAACATTGAACTGGAATTGACCAGATTCCCGCCTGCTGCTTTTCCAGAGACACAAATCCTATATTTCACTGATTTCCACCATCTGGAAGGCCAATTTAAAAGCAGTGTCTGAAGTCATGCACAATAAATAGACACGTGTTCTTTTTACTTTGTTCTTGAACTTTCTATCCCTATTTAACCTTTTTCTCCTTCCCCTGATTTTCATCCTTGACTTGCTGCTCTTGTTGAAATCCTCTTCTTGCTTCAATCCATCAACTTTACTTCCATGAGCTTTTCTCACTTCCCCTGCGTTGTTCCTCCCCTCTTCAGGTCTTCTGGGCATTACAGCTGGTAACAGTCCTGGTTCCTGGAGCAGTATTCCACCTTTATGCCGCCTGTAAGAACATAGACCAGGAGGAGATCCTCGAGCGACCTATCTACACAGTCTTCTACATCATTTCTGTTCTCCTGCGCATCATTTTGGAAGTCATCGCCTTCTGGCTACAAAGTCATCTCTTTGGCTTTCAGGTCAGTCGGTGAGAAATGTGACACGATAAATATTTTTATTCATATGTTCACCCATATTCACACCAAAGGATGGCAACAATGAGAACTGTGACTGTGTCTGCAATATTTTTTTTTTTTAACATTTTATTTTGTATTAATACCCAATTTTAATAGTTATAACTGTTTAGAATGAAGATTTAAATTTATTATACATACCTACAATGTAAACAAACCTATTAGTCCATCTGACATAAAATATTTAAACATCTGTCTAAAACCAATTCAGAAATATAAAAATTATATTATTTATTGGGAAAATAATAAACTCAATTCACATTTGATACCCAAATTTAAACCAGCACACTGGACTCTTCTGAGAAGTCAGAAATTAATCAAACATGACATGCAAACACTGCAATTAATTTCTCTCTTCAGGAATGTAGGTTTATTTATCATGTTTGTCTTCTGATAGAAAACAAATAATATCCTCTTTACATGTAGTGAATAGGAACCTTTAAACCTGACAGAAAAAGTGATTTGATTTATATTGTGATAGATGATGATATCCACTGATATGAGAAAAGATATTGGAGCCTATCCCAGCTGTCATAGGGCACACCCGAGGCAGGGCAGCAGACAGACAACCATTCACATTCATGGACTAGATGGTGGAATCGAACTTGGGATCTTCTTGCTGTGAGGCTACTGACCGCCCCACCATGCAAATATAATTGGTATATAAATGTCATTATTATGATGGCAGAAAGGTCAGATTTCGCTACCTGGTAAATTAACCTATAATACAGTACAAGATATGTCTCTTTAGGCATGATGTACCAGGGAAGTTTGCAGCTTTACTTTGATCATGGATCTGTTCCTGTGTGAAAACGTCATTGTACTTTTTGATTCTGTTTTAAATGGTCCAGCACATAATAGGTACAGCCAGAGTAGTTACATTGGCAATAATGCAGATCGAATTCCTGTCTTCATGAGTTGTAAGGTTTGAGCAGCCAGTGCCTAGAAGTTGAGATAAGAATGGAAGCTTCAGTGCCTCACATTTCTCTCTTTTTCCCCAGGTTCACCCACTGTACATGTGTGATGCCAGTGCTTTGGAAAAGGCTTTTAATGTGACAAAGTGCATGGTACCTGAACACTTTGAGAAAACCATCTTCCTCAGTGCCATGTACACCTTCACCGTAATCACCATACTTCTCTGTATTGCCGAGATATTTGAAATACTCTGCCGACGGCTGGGCTATCTCAACAATCAGTGACACAAGTGCACAGATAAAATGACTTGTGGTAAACCTGTCTGACACCTTATCTGCCAGTTATACCGGGCTCCTGCCGGCTACGGCTGAACCTTTATAAAACAGGGAGCGAACAGAAGACCAAAACCTCACCTGTGGTCAATCGTGAGTAAGTGGCACTAAGAAATTTGAGACAGTCCAACAATGTTAGAGCTGGCAAGTCTGAAATAACCTCCAGAGTTTAACCATAACTATAGAGTGATGATCCCTGGTTGTATATCAGATATCAGTGGGTCTGTACTGGTTGTGTCCAAAGGTGTTGTGTGGACAATAGTTACCTCTTACTGAACACTTGGGGATGGACTAGAAAGACTTTTGGTTTTCTTTTTTTTCCTACACAACATGACTGAAGGACAGACTTCATGGTGCTACTAAAAACTCTTTCCAGATGGATTACAGCCCAATGTCAAACACCTCAAAGGCCCGTAACAATCTTTTCTTGGAGTTGTACCTCAGATCTGACTATACAGAAGAAACCCCAGAAGCATTAGCTGCACACATTTTTCTAAAGGGCCTAGCATGCACTAAATGCATCATGGTTTATCGAGCCAACTTGATGCATCCTCTGTGGACTCTGTTCACTTATGGAGTGCCAACCTAAACAGTTCTTCTTACGGTGCAAAAAGATCTGACTGGAAGGCGTAAGGTCTTCATGTAATGTAACTGTTAACAATGCAATTAACTAAAGAGCTAGTCACATTATTCTGTATAAAGTGCAGATGAACATAACTGTCTAGCTTGCCTTTCAGGTGCCGACCACCAAACGTGACAGGCACATCGCAGAGCTGGCCACAGATTGTCACTCATGCCATGCATAAGAAACTGTCATCCAGTAACTTTAGCCATGGGCGAGTGAATTGCAGGTGCCATTGCTTCTGACACTTGTATGTGTGACAGTTATTGCTTCCAATGTGTGTCTGATGTTGCTCAAGGTCTGTTTTGACCTTCACTTCAATCAACACAAGCGCCACAACTTTGTTGTCATTTCATATAAGATGGTAGTTCTTAAACAACTTGATCATCAAGCTCATGTGCCGGTTGAGCCTAAACATATGCTTGAGTTTACCTCAGTGAGATTAAAAGGCATCTTCAGACCACCGATGCTTCTTACCAAAGATGCCATTGCTAAAATGGTTGCTATGTAGTGTTTTACTCTTCAAGGTAAAGATCTGCCCAAAGATGCAACTTATTATGAAATGGGTTTGATGCAATGAACTACGAAAAGGAAGAAAACACCTTGTAATATATATTTTTTAAAAACTTTATCAAAATCTATCACCTGAAAAATCTGAGTTAAAAAGTTACAATTACATTTGGCTGTAAAAATGTGTTGAAATGAAATTTTTTCAGTTATATAGTAGTACTAAAGTTGTAATGGTTTTGAAATTTCTGAAACAAAGCATCAAGCTCCAGTTAGAACATTCATATGTTAATTTTTTGTTAATAGGTATTTAATAAAATCCTACTGGCAGATTTGTTGAAATCCAAGCTGGAGAAGGTTCAAGCCATTCATGGTTCTGAACGTTCTGGGACACCAGAAGAGGTGTCCTCAGTCCCCCGCCTTTGCTTCACCCTTTTTTCTTTGCTTGAAGTATTAATACTTTCTGTAATATTTTCCTTTGGTGTCATTGTCCATGTATTTTGAAAAAGATTACCTCTCATGTTTTGTAATGTTTTATTTTTAATCAGACATCCATCCAACTTTTGTTATGAAGTTTTCAGCAATCTGTTCATCATCTCAGGTACAAAATTGCATTACACGACAAAAGTGGATCAAACGCTCTTTCCGAACCCTTTTAAACCCTTAACCCTTTTCCTCTCTCTGTGTCATCACTCCAGTTGCAGGATTTAGAAGGGTTTGAACCAGGTATGTGACTCCTGTGATTTGGGTTTGTCTGCGTTCTGGTATCTGTGACTGGACGATGGTTTTAAATTTTGCCTCTAAAAGTTCTGTCACCAAGACTAAGGCCTGGTTTGTATGAAATTAACAACTGCAGATTAATTTGGCAGGATAAAAGGTTTTGATGTGGTGCAAATAATGAACAAATCCAGGAATCTCACAGGATAAAATGGGATAAAACAAATTTAAGTGGATACCAGTGGTCTATGTCAGTCTATTCACATTATCTTTGAGTTAGTTTATCTTGTTCTACTGCTCAGGTATACGAGGTGCTATCAAAAAAATTCAGAGACTAGGGTGATAAAAGCAAAACCCATACCTGATTTAAATGTAGCTACCGTCCCCTTCACAGTAGTCACCTGATACAACGATCCATAGTTTTGGCTTGTTAACCACACCTGGAACACTCCCCAGAAGTCCCATTTTTCTCATTGGTGCTGCTTCCGTTCAATGGTGCAAATTGTTTCTTTCTTTCTTTTTTCACCTGCAAGGTAACACAGACTAGTGTAACATTCACCTAAGCTGCTTCTGGCACCTGTTGCATGTTAAGAAAAGAACTTCTGAGGGAGAAGTCAGATTCTTTTACTAGACTGTACACATTTACTTTCTGGTTACCAGACAAGCTAGCTAGTTTACTTGCAGTTAGCAATGCAGCTACCTTAAACAGCTCATGCTTCTTTGTCCACTAGCTAGCAAGTTGCCAGAGCACATCACAGTTCTATAGCTTTTAAGCCTCTGTTCATTTAGTGGGCTAGTTTCAGTCTTTGTGACAGGTACTGTTTATAAGGTTGGGGAAATCTGTAGTCAGTTGAAACTGAAGAAGTCACCTGGATGAGTGGCGGAATGTTTCTCCCACTGAAAATGCTATGTCCAGATGAACAGAATCAACTTTTAGGGGTTTTACGCCTCTAGTAATTTCAGAGGGTTGTGTCAATCTTTCTGGTGTGACCAGGCTAACAGGTTAGTTTCATGCTATCACCTGTAATTTTGAAAAACAAACCCAGGACATTTAAAATCCACAAGAAGAAAATGTTTTGCTCAGGTTGGCCAAAGTTCAGGGTTCACTTGTTAGCTTTTACCATAAGCTAATTTGGCAGGGTCAAACCTCGGGGCTAGTCTTGGTTAAGAGCTTAATCAAATTTGTACATGAAGCTGTGTTTATCTGTCTTTGAATGATTAACTTAGAAGAACTTGGAAAGCAGAGCTTGTTATATTTTTGCAAGGCTGATTCACTGATAATTTACAGAACTGGAGAGATTGGAAATATTGGGGGGTATATGTGATATTAAACATATAATCCAGTTATTAAAAAGGTGGCCACAAATTCTCAGCTTGTTCTTTTAATGAACTCATGTAAAAGAAGTCAAAGAGTCAGCATAAAGTAGGGAGGTATATGGGTTATGCAGCACTGCTGTAAGCTAATTTACTTCTTTTGGCCACTAATATCAGGGTCATTTGTGGAAATTCAGCTATGACACACAGAGTACACAACAATGCAAATTCATCTTTATTTTTTATACATCTTTGATTTTTACCAGTGATGTTATGTTAGTTGTTAAAATTGAGTTGAGGTTTATTACATTTTTGACCACTGTTTGTCTCTATATGAAAATATTTTGTCAAAGAGGCACAGTTTACAACCAGTGCATCCATATTAAAACAGAAATCTGTTTGCTACAGTTTACTGAAGGTGACCAGTATATTCTGACTTGTTTTGTCTTGAGATGATTATTAAAAAGTCCTACAATTGTCTTTGTTTCATTGTTGATTGACTTGACTACAGAGTACTACAGACTACGGTATTTATAGAGAAAAGTATATATAAGGGGAATATATATTATGATAGATGGTTTTGGTTCACGTTGGTCCACCGGTTGAGGTGATGAGGTACATTCAGATATATACATATGCATACCCTACGATCATTATTGTAAGATTATTTTCCATTGATTCATTGTTTTATGCTTATCAAACTCAGAGTCAGAGGTGACTGACCAGCTATTATATGGTAATGGCGATAGCATGTGGTATAAAAGATATCTTGAATCTGTCCTTGTGGCAGTGAGCTGAGTCAGTCTGTTAGAGAAGGAGGACTGCTGGCTATCCAGTGCGTAATGCTGAGGGTGGTGAGTTTGTTCAATTAATTTATCCAGACCACATCTTCAGAAGTGTCCAGCCAATCTCAAAGCCACCTTTGCTGATCAGTTTATTCAGTCTATTGATGTTAACAGCTCCAACGGCGCTCCCCCAGCAGACCAGATTAAAGTACACTGCAGTCGCCACAGCTGACTGATAGAAAATCATCATTTTGCTGCACACATCAAATGATCTCAGCTTTCTCAGGAAACAGAACCTGCTCATTGCCTTCTTGTATACAGTCTCTCCTTGTTAATATGTACGTCCAGGTACTTGTATTCCACCACACCAGTATCCTATCACAGGACAGACACAGGGTCCCTCTGGAGCTGCTCCCCGTCTTTCTGGTCTTATTGATATTCAGAAGCAGATGATTCGAAATCTTCACCACACCATAAAGTCTAGTGCTCTGTACCTCACTTCCTGCACATCACTAATGCATCCAACCACTGCGGGTGTGATGACCCAGGTTAATACTGAAAGTCAGAGGTGCAGAAGGTGAATCAGAGTGGAGACACTCCAGTGCCCCTGTGAAGCTCCTGTACATCTCCAAATCAGAGAGTCTCACACACTGGCCTGCCGGGTAGTCAGTGATCCACAAGAAAGTGGATCGCTGACATCCTTCTCTTTCAGCAGCAGTGGCTGCATCACATTTAATTTACTTGACAAATCAAATAAGGTGATCCTCACCATGCAGTTTTTTTCTGTCCACGTTAGTCCAAAAGAAAATAACCCACTGATGGTTTGATTTGTAACCCCACCAAACATTTTCTTATGAGTTTACAAACTGAATTGTTACCGTCAAGTCTTACTCGAAACAACATGATGTTTTTTTGTAAACTACGGCCTCACTAGAGTCAAAAAGTTCATGATTTGTGTCCAGAATTGTACCTGCTAGTCTGCATGCCGACTGTTCGGAACATATTTAGTGCGTCCAGGGAGGCTGCAGATAATAAATACAGCTTTGTTCATCATCAATTACTACCGCCTCATCCAAATCCAAGCTACATTTGGATTCAAAGTCTGTTTGTGTGCAGCAGCCTTGCAGCTAAGCTCCTCTGTTCCCATGAATAAAAAAAACAATAAAATACAGTATAACCGGAGCCAAAAAGTGCAAAACTGAGTCATCAAGGAAGTGGGTGGGCTTGGACCAGAGTCGACCAGTCAGCCAACAGATTCTCACGACCTCATTACCCAAAGCCCTGACTACATTAGCTTTCCAAACCTCATGGACTTCAGTCCAGCTCAAGGTTCAGTGGGAACTGGGCAGCATGAAGCTTAACACACCAAATTTAAACATACAACAGCATATGGACCAAAGAAAACCTGGTACCCAGCAGACATGCCTCAATAAAGTCAACACATGGCAGGCTTTGGGAGAAACCCGGAGAAGCTGTCATGCTGTTTCTTTGTTGAGCCTCCCAGGTCAAAGGATCATTTGACCACAAGAACCAAACAGATCCAAGCTCTCGTTTTTACCACGGCCCATAAACTCCCCTTACTGCAACAGACTTCTCTGCTCAAAGCCCACCCAATTTCCTGGAAATACATCATTGTTCCCTTTGATTTACACCGTTTATTATCAGACTTCATTTGCTTTGTTGCAAATATGCTTTGGCTCAATCGCCTGAATTCAGACTCAGTTTGTGGCTTTAACTTGACCTCAGTCCAAATATCCTAGGTGTAATACTATGCTGATTCTTTTTTAACATCCATTTGTTTTGATTAATTTTTGGGACAATATTGGAATATTAAAAAGAATTTAAACATGGATTTTATTATTTTGAATCTGTCTAACACGCATGCACACACACAAATTGTGCCAAGTAACTAAAGCTTGTTTTTAACACACGTTTGCCATGACTTTCTTCCAGTGGCCACTGTCTGGTGTCACATTTCTTTTTTTTAATTTAAAAAAAATGAAAAAAATATGAAGAAAATATGATCCCAACTGACATATGACATATGTATATATATGTGTGTGTGTGTGTGTGTGTGTGTGTGTGTGAATATATAAATGTGCGTAAAACCAAGAGAGACTTCTTGAGACTGAAATGAATGTGACGTAAATTCATGGGTTGAACTGACAATTTTGACTGACAAAATGTAAATGCCTAATTTGTTTCTTTACATTGTAAATAAATGATTATATTGCTACGTCTTGATGCATTCTCAAT